CCCCAAAACCCCAAAACCCCAAAACCCCAAAACCCCATGAAAAGAGAGAAAATTGATGAATTCTTTAGATTATAACAGTCTAATCCTCACTCTCACTAATCGCGAGGGTCATTTTGTTATGAATTCTGTCGCCAGTGCTTTCAAGTACCCTCCTACCAAAATTTCCTCCCTCTGCTATACTGCTTGCTTCTAAAGAATACTTGTTATCAATGTCAGACTCAGAAGGTTGTTCATGAGAGTTATCCTCTCCTTCGCTAAAGGATTGTTCTTCAGAACTAGATTCTTCATATTTACTCTCTTCTTGTCGTGAATTGATAGAGGATTCCTCCTTATCTTCTTCTTCAAACTTTTCATCGATAATTTTGGGTCCTACTGAAGAGAGTTTAGGATGGAACTTGTTTTCGGTATTCTTCCTATGTTTGAAAGCTCCTCTGCTAATCTTTTTGTTCTTCGATGAACTGCTTGAAGCGTCCGAATTTCTACTATTATTTGGCCTAACTTCTAGCATACTTCCTCCGAATTTCTCAAAAGTAGGTGAAGCATTGCTCAAAGGATCTTTTCTACCACTCCTTGACATACGATTGTTATGGGAGTAATTCATACTTTGGGATTTTACTAATGAGCTTGAGGATTTTGCATGGTTATGGCTCTTGTCCATACTTCCTCCTCCAACGGAATTGATGTCATCATCACCCAATCTTCCGTCATTTATTGATTCTATGTCGCTATTCATACTACTCAATCAGACTTTATTCATTTTCTCAACAGTTGCGTGATTTGAAGTAAACACATGATTAGCTAAGTCTTGCGACATCCTGACTGATTGGTCATCATCAAATTCAGAGTCAAGTTCTTTATCAATCTTGACAATGTCGATCTTGAGTTTATTCTCAATATCTATATTTTTGCCAATCTTCTTTCTCATAATTAAGTCGATCAGCCTTGGGAAAAACATTGATTTCCCTTGCTTAATGAAAGCTATTGGGATAATAGCAGCTCATGCTATGACTAAACCAACCAACCAGAAGTTTAAGTGGTTGTAGAACTCTAACTGATTCCATCTTATGTAAGAGTCTGGAAATTCGTTGTAAATGAAAACCCACCCTGGGTAGAATAATACAATATGGACAGCAAGTATAAATATGAGCACCCAGTGCCAAGCTCCTACCAGTAATCCTACTAAGCCAAGGTGTATTGCAATTACTGCAACATAAGAAGTCATACTGAACTGCCAAAGACCGAACGACTTGCCTCCTACTTCAACTGCATTTAGGAATGTGTAGTATGAAACGAAGAAGTTCATTGATCCAGCTGCAAATCCATAGAAATACCAAGTCACAAAGTTTGTGATGTTGAAAGAAAGATGGTCCCTAGTTTCTGCATAGAGGTAAGGAAGCAATAATTTAGTAGTTTTATCCTTCAAGCTTGGATCAATATCAATATCACCAACAGCCAAAGCACAAACCATCAATTGGGTTGCAAAGGTATTAAAGATCGATGTGTATCCAGCCTCAAAAAATGTTTGGCCAGAATATGCACTGAAGAAAGCAAATGAAAGCTGGGAGATACTGAAGATTAGATTCTTCAATAAGAACTGGGTAATGAACATAGTCATCCTTCTTGTGTTAAATCTCCCGTGGATGAACATGAGTCTTCTTAAGAATTGGAACTCTCCAATAGCATAGTCTGATGCAGAGACAGCTTGGTATCCTTCTTTTCCGAATATTCCTATTCCTACATCGGCCTCTTTGATCATGCTGACATCATTTCCACCATCTCCGATTGCCAGAGAAATCATCTTGGGATTCACTTCTTTGGCAAACTCGACAACTTCAGCTTTCTGCTTGGGCGAAGATCTACAGACAAGAACCACATTTGCCTTTTTGATGATTTTCCCGAAAAGTTTTCTATTTTCTTCATGAAACATCAGAGCGAGGCAGTCACCTTCAATGACTATTTCAAAGTTAATATCTGCAACTGGAGCAGTAGCAATCTTGTTGACATTGAAGGAGGTTCCAAGAGAACTCTTCAAGAGAATATGCTTGACAAATAGTTTCTTTTCTGTAATCTTCAATTGCTTATCAGGAGCAAACAGATCATTTGATGATGCATTCTCATCTTGAAGAGCCTTCTTTTTAAATTTAAGTCTATTATTACTCCCTGAATAATGTTGGGAATGAAAACTAGTGTTCATATTTTTACCAGACGTCTCGCAAGCCTTATGATCTTCCTCTACAACTTGAGCATGCTCTTCAGACTCTTCTCTTTCCAAATCATCTGAATCTTCAGACTCTTCTACGGGAAGTGGTATTTCCCTTGCTTCATTATTCTGTTTGACCAGTCTCTTCATTGTTCTATACGTCATCTTGGCGACATTTTTAGCTTTGGCCATTTCTGTGGATGTGAGGTAAAATCTCTCAGCGTCTTCATGCAACAGTCTGCATGAAATGCCCACATTTTCTGCTGTCTCTAGTTTATCTCCAGTGATCATCCACACTTTGATATCTGCTCTTCTGAATTCTTCAATACATTCATGAACGTTATCTTGCAATTTATCTTCAAGAGCCGAAGTACCTATAAGGAAGAGTTCATTCTCAATTAAGTAGATAAGCTCATTTATTTCCCTTTCGTTGTAATTCTCAATGTCATTGTTTTTAAGATCGTAAGCTCCTTTCCATCTTAAGAATTCATCATATCTAATAACTTTCATTCCTATCAAAAGTGTTCTGTATCCTTTCTTTGCAAATTTGCCAATGGCAGAGAAATCAAAATGACCTTCATATTGATTCGCACTGAGGCCTTTCATGATGTTGTCTGCTCCCTTTGTGAACACAATCACGAACTCAGGGTCCTCAGGATCTTGGACGACAACAGTCATCCTCTTCCTCTCTGATGTAAATTTGAACATCTCAAGCAGTCTGAACACTCTTCTCTGGCCTCCGATCTTGATTTCTATTTCGTTGTTGGACCTGTATCTGAACTCATACCCCACTCGCTTGGCTGCGTCAACTAGAGTGATCTCATCTGGAGACATTCCGTGATAGATAAGTTCTTCATCGGCATCAATGTTTCTCTCTGAAATACTGAAGTCATCATTTTCAATGTGTTTGTCTTCTTCAATTTCCTCTGCTTTAATTTCATCTTCTAGAGAGTTAGAATCCTCAGAATTCTGAAAGAACTTCTTTTTATCTCCCACTTGGAAGTCGTCATTGTGCTTCTCCTCACGAGCTGTATATTTATTTCTTAGGCTTATGATCGAATGTTCTTTTCTTGATTATCTTGGAACTATTGTTAGAAACCCCTTCATCTTCGTCATCTGCTAGAAAGAGATCATCGAAGTGCTCTTTATTTAACTTCTGTTTATCCTTGGAGATTGAGATGACTTCATGTCAAAGTGATAGAGCCATCCAAAAATAGTTTAAAAGATCAGTCTGTTTGGTAATTCTTATATTACCAAACCTGTATTCATTACTAAGTTCTTCATCATTATAATTCAGAGTGATAATTTTCTTCAAACATCTGAGGACATTCTCACCGTTATCATCACTATTGTCAAAGTCTGGATTGAATTCTCCATTGCCAGAGTTTTGCTCATCAATGTTGCTATTTTCAATGCTGGATCCTTCAAAATGATAACTCTCGATTGTTTTCTTGTCATATTTAATTTTTCCAATGCATCAAGCTTTAAAAATCATTTCATTGGACGTAAGTGTCCCTGTTTTGTCAGTGAAAATATTGTTGATGCAGCCAAGTTCTTCGTTCAATGAAACAGACATGACCTTTCAAGGTTGATTGACTTCAACACTAAACATCTTTGGGTCTCCAAAGATAAACATACTTTGTAGCACCTTGATAATTTCCAAAGAGACAAGTAAACTGATAGGAAGGATTGAGCTCAGTAGAAGGAAGAATTTCAAAAATCCCAAAAGTGCATCTAAAAAGACGTTAGTATTTGAGCTTGATGGATCTTTGAATAAGTATATCGACCCTTCTGCTTCATCTTCGCTGTTAGTAGTTATTCCATTCCGCTGATTATAGTTTGCAGCAAGGATCGAGATGATTAAGCACAAGGCGGTCTGAAAGAGGATCAAGAAAATAACAACTTTGTTAAGCCTTCTCTCAATATGAGTTTGCTTATATTTATTCTTTCCCAGATTTTTTAATAATTTGGTATCATGGCCAGCGTATACTACCATTCCAATAATCCAATCAGTGTTTGAAAGCACAGCTCCTCTCAGCAAAAATTGATCTAAAGTGGTCTTCATCAACGGAATTTTAGGATTCTCACAAGTAAGTTGGCCTTCGAATTGATAAATTTTAGTATTAGGATTTTCGCACTTTAGATGCATCATGAGCTTATCAAGTCCGACCCCACGCTTCTTCATTTTCTCAAGGAACTCAGTGTAAGCTTGTCTTGGCTTAAGAGCCCGTTCTCCATCAAGTGTCATTGTCTGAATATACGCAGTTCCATAGTGATCTGATCATGCAAGGAGTAATAAATCTGCAGGGAAGGTTTCGTCTTCATGCACGAAAATAATATCTCCGACTTGGAGGTCTCTCCATTTGCATTCATGGAATTTATTTCCTCTAAGGACCCTAGCTTTAGAGTTATTGACTGCCTTATCTTGCTTTCTTCTTTTAATTTCCTCGATGAACTCTCTAAAGACCGATACTCCAATAACAAATATAAATGGCATGGCAGCAAGGTAGACAGGCATAGTGCTGACTGCTGGGACTCCTTGCAGAACTATGGTTCAGAGAAAGTAGAAGTTATAAATTCTCAAGAATTGTATGAGAATAGCCTTAGGCAAAAAATCGACAATATTATATTTAGAAGTGCTGATCTTATTGCTCTTGTACTTCGGAATCTTGATCTTCTGTTTAGGATCATCGGGGTTCTCATACTCCTTCTTAAGATGATGTAGGGCATCATCTTCATCAAATCCATAGAAGATGTTCCTGTATGCCTTGATATCCGGAATTTCTTTTTCTTCCTCCATTTGATAGAATATTTAATGTTTTCTCTATAAGTTAATTTTAATAAGGGGTTTTGGGGTTTTGGGGTTTTGGGGTTTTGGGG